GTATATATATATATATATATATACACACACACACATACACACACACACACACACAAATGTAAGTTCTTCATTTCTGTGTGTCAGGAAACCAGAAGCAATTTAATTAGGTGGGTCTGCCTTGGGGTTTCTACTGAGGTTACAGTCGGGATGTCAGCTGAAACTGCAGTCATCTGCAGTTTCATCATGACTTGGGACTGAAGGGTCAGCTTCTAGGGAGGCTCACTCACCTGGCAGTTAGCTTAGGGCTACAATTCCTATCATTTGACCCTCTCTGTAGGATATGACAGTTGGCTTCCCTTAGAGCAAAGGATCCAAGAGTGATCCAGACAGAAGCCATAGGGTTGTTATTTTGTTGTTGTTGTTGTGTGTGTGTGTGTTTACGATTTAGTCTCCAAAGTTACACACACACACCACTGCCACTTTATTGGTTAGAAGCAAATCACTGAATCTAGTCCACAGACAAGAAAAGGCAAGTAGGCTCCCCCTATTGCAGTGAGGAATGTCAAGTATTTGTGGACATATTTTTTGTTTTGTTGCTGTTTGTTTTGTCTTGCTTTTGTGGTTGTGAGGATCCAACTCAGGGTTTTACAAATCTAAGATAGGTGAGTGATAGCCTTAGATTTGAGCTACATCCTAACCCTGAGGATTATTTTTATCTGTGACTTTAGAGCTTTTTACTGTTCTCTAAGTAAAGGACCACTAGAATTGGGTAGATAAAATCAAATAATGCCTAAACCATTATCACAATCTATTATCTGTGCCCACATTCGTGGGTAATAAAAGCTGTATTATCTGCTTTCTTCCCAAACCCTCCCATCCTCATCTAATTTGCCCACTTTAGTTCTTGCAGAAAATCCTTACCCATTCCTTTCTTATGAGTACTAAAGAAAATACCAAACTCCCATAGCAGGGATACTTTTCATCCATAGCTAAATATTTTTGATGTGGGACTCTGTCAAAAGATGCCAAAATTTCAAATAAGTTCAAACCTCTATTCAGTTGCCCATGTCTTCAAATTTAGTCCTCAGAAAATTTTAATACATTCCTGTGGCATGAATCTCCCTTTTAGAAGTTTTGTTGCTTTTCCTCTCAGGGAGCCATAGAGACTCTGTACTCCAAATTCTCAATCTGCTTGATGTGTTTGAAGTTATGTCTAAGGCTTCCCCCAAATAAATGAGGATAATTAGATTCCTTGTTGTTCATTTGTTTTTGAGATAGGGTCTCACGATGTTGCCTATAGTGTACCCAGCGAATGGTGATGTTCTTATACCAGTTCAACACATGCATACACGCACACACACACACACATTAAAAAAACGTATTTCATCTATAAGATAGCTCCTATAGTAGTACTTCACTACAAGTCTATTAGGAAATGTATTCCAAGTTAAAATCCCACACTGGGATTTGATTGACAGCAGTGAATACTCATGCTGTCTATTCAGCCATAAAATGTAGGACACCCCTGCATCCCTACTACCATGCAGTGCTGGCAGCAGCATTTCTAATAGTGGGGAAAATAAGCACCATCTCTGTGGCACAGGCTCCTGTATCAGTAGTGGTGACCAAAGAAGAGTGCACTACTAATGTCTTAGACTGTTTATATCCTAGGGCTCTTCTAACTCAAGTACTTTACATTTAAGGAGTGATTTCATATTAAATCATGAAGATCTACTTCCTGGGAAGGTAACACTTTTCATTCATATGTAACAGCCATGTAATTGGCTTATTAGTCTTTAGCTAAATTTTTCTACAGTACTGAGATTATCCAGACCAGTCTATCTAATTTGATAGCTAGATACATGAAACATTAATAGTTGGTGTTTGTATGTATCACTCATTTGTACATTCATATGGAAAAATCTGCATTTTATTTAAAGATTTCCAAAATATTGCTCAAATTTTTGTTTTTAAGTAGAATAAGTAATGAATATATTTCCCTTATAGTAAGTGTTGTCCTAGGAATCATATTTTAAAGCTATAATTGTCTATGTTGGGCATCACAGGTATTGAGCACAGTTAGTACTGTTCTAAGAAATCAATGTTACTCCATGAATTATTTTTATAATAGGTTGATTTGAGAAATATAAGTATAAAAGGAGTTCTAGGGGCTGTAGCTGTAGCTCCATGGCAGAGTGCTTGCCTAGCACGTGAGCGGCACTAGGTTAGATCCTTAGCACTACATAAACATTATCTACAACTTAAAAAAATTTCAAAAAAAAGGAGTACTAGTACAAGATTTTAAAAGCTTAGGTAAATTTAAATGGAGAATGTAATGAAACTTTCTTATGTATTGTTAAAAAGAATAATGAATATTGTAGAAAGTTATGGAATATTTACAAATTTTCTTTGAACACAAAACCTATGTTAAGAAAAAAATTCAGTATATTATTAAGAACAAGCAGTTTTGTGTGTTATTTTTTAAACCTAATAAAAACTATTTGTCAGTTTTCTGTTATTGTGACAAAATACATGAGAAAAGTGAATTTAATAAAAGGTTTTGGCTTATAGTTTCAGAGGTTTCAATCCATGTTTGCTTGGACCTGTTGCTTTGGACCTGTGATGACAATATATCTTGGTGAGAGCACATGGCAGAGGAGAATGCTCACCTCTCCTGGTGGCCAGGAAGCAAAGACAGAGAGAGGGAGGGGCAGAAGTGACCAGGGTCTCAATGTCCCTTTCAAGGGTACTCCTCCAGTAAATTTACTTCCCACTAGGCTTCACATCCTACAGGTTATACTACCTCCTAATAGCATCACAGGCAACTTTCATGATCCAAATTATAGAACTTAAAGGTCCAGTCTATGAATATACAGTATTATCTTTTAAATGACTTATTGAGGTATAAATTAAATACAATTAAAATCACCCATTTTAAAGTATTTAGTTTAATAAATGTATACACCAGTGTAACCACTACACCAAATAAGAGAATGTTTCCATATCCTTAAAAAGTTTCCCTAAAATACTTTGCAGTCATTACCTTCTACCCCCTCCCCCTGCAGTCACTGATTTATCTTTATAAGTCAGTTTTTTGTTCTAAATCTTAATACAAATCATATAGTATACCCTTTTTGGTATCTAGCTTTTCTTTCACTCACTTAACATGTTTTTAAAATGTACTCATGTGTTGTAGCATTTATTAGCAATCTGTGGCTAAGGAGTATCACTGTATGAACATACTACAATTTGCTTAATTACTTATTTGTTGATGGCCGTTTGGATTGCTTCCAATTTTTTGCTATTATAAAACTCCTATGACCATTTCTGTGTGAGTCTTGTTATAAATATGTTTTTATTTTTCTTGAGTAAATACTTAGAGGTAGAATTGTTTGGTCATATGTTAAGAATGTCTCAACTTTCTACAAGGGAGCTACTATCTTCAAATTAGAAACTGTTGGTTTATGTATGTTCCTAATTTTAAAATGTCCCCAATGGTAGTTTCTTCTTGTTTTTTTGGAAAGCATTTTCACTCCTGATTATGGAGATGGGAAAGACACTTCTTCCACCTTTGGCACAGCAGCAAAAGGGAGAAGAGGAATTCCCTAAGCTGTAAGCCAAGAAAATGAGTAGAGGATTTTTCTCTTGAGTGGTGCCTGTTCAATGGAAATATACCATGAATCACATGTGTAATTTTGTGACAAATTATTTAATCGCTACATTTTTAAACTTTTAAAAGGAAACATGAAATTAATATTTAAATATTTTTATTTAAGTTAATATATAAAAAATTAAATAGTCAATATATAACTTATTAATAAGGCATTTTATATTCTTTTTCATACAAAGATTTCAAAAATTTGATGTGTATTCCATATGTAAAATTATCAACCATCAACATGAGAAATGTAGCACCACTGTGCTGGGGATGTGCCTTAGTGTTTGAGCACTTACCTAGAATGTGTGGGTTCCATTCCCAGAATGGCAAAATTTCTAAAAAAGTAGTCCTACTAATAATAAAGTTGTGTTTAATTGAAAAGTATTCTATAATTCTTTCATTTTCAAATTTAAATTTAAATTAATTAAAAGGAATCTAAAATTCAATTTCTCAGTCACACTAACCACATTTTAAGTGCTCAACAGCACATAGGCCTAATGGCTACCATATTGGACTGCAAAGTTCTAGAGGGTTGTATGTGAGACTGAAAAGAGGAGATGAGGTGAGAGAAAGTAGCTTTGCAACTCAGTTCATAGTAGAAATGCAGTGTTATTCGTGTGAAATTTGAGTTAAATAGATTTCTATAGTCTTTTAAGAATCTAACCTCCTTCCTCTCTAATTTAAAATATGAATGAGTTCTAATGTGAATTATAAATTTGCTTTTAATTTAGCAATTGCTTGGGATTAAATGATAACTCTACCATTTTCTATCTGTGTGACCTTGAACACATAACTTCTTAGCTTAATTTTCACCATCTATAAAACAGGGAAAATAATAGTTTTTTTTTTTTTTTGGATTACTGTGGAGACTGAGATAGTGCATGCAAAGCATGTTATAGAATGACCAGTGTAGCTTTCAGAAAATAAGAGGTGACTTTTAAAAATTTGAATTATTCTTTGGACAGGGACTGTCTGTAGTTTCTTTTCTTTTTTGAATTTTCAATGCTGCGGATCAAATCCAGTGCCTGGAACATCCTAGGCAAACACTTTACCACTGAGCTACATGCCTGGCTATAGTTTCCTTTTAATTTTTAAAATTGAAAATGACCCTATTGATTCAGTAAATACTATCTCCAAGATCTCAGCTATAACACAAACATGGAAAGAACATAGCCCACATGTTCAAAGACAATGCCCAGCTCATTTTCTTATTTGAAAATGAGAAGAATAAAACCATAGCAAATAATAAGTTTTCTAACAACCTCAAAGAAAAAAAGCATTATAAAATGAAAACTGAGTTTATAAATAAAAAATTATATAGTTTTTCATAATTGTTTAGCTCCATTAAAATAGACATCCACAATTAAAATAGTTAAGATTTAAGAAATTAGATTGACATAAATGTGAATTCTTAATGGTTAGTATTGACTTTATTTCCGCCACTCAGAAGACACTCTTTGTTTTCCCCTTGCATGGTCTTGTCCTGAGATGAGCTTGTTTAGTTGGGTGGTTTGTATTTACCTGACAAAAAAAAAAAGCCAGTTTGTTTCATTCAAAATGTATGAAATACAGAATTTCCATACTTTAAATGCAGAATATTTTTAAAGTTATTACTTTCAAGACTCGAAACTAATACAAGTAAAATAAATCATTTTAAAAAGTAAAATTATATTTATAATACATCTTTATTATAGTATAAAAATAAAGCTCCTCTGGCAATATTAGATTTTAATTATTTACTTTTAGGGCTGCTCAGGAATGTTGAGCAGGCACTCTAATATTAAAATATGAGATTGAAGCAATATCTAAAACCTCTTCAGATTTTAATTTCTTAAAATGTTTGTTTTTTTAGAAGCCATCCCCATTTAGGAATCTGAACATGCAAGAGATTGTTTTTTGTTCTTTAAAATTATATAAATGTCACTGAATTGTTTGTAAATTTTTTTAAAATTTTTTCGGCGGACACAACATCTTTGTTTGTATGTGGTGCTGAGGATCGAACCCGGGCCTCATACATGCCAGGCAAGCACGCTACCGCTTGAGCCACATCCCCAGCCCCAATTTCATAAATTTTTTATCTAAGCTGAACTACATCCTAAAATTTGATCATGAGATTTACATATATCATAATAAGCTCAAATAACTTTCACATTATTTCAGCTGTAACAGATTTTCACATTTTTTATTTATTAAATATATAGTATTTTTTAGTAATTAATTAATGCTTAATTTTTTGAGCATTAAAAAAATCTATCTTTGGGCTGGAATTGTGGCTCCAGTGGTAGCATGCTCGCCTGGCGTGCATGAGGCCGGGGTTGGATCCTCAGCACCACATACAAACAAAGATGTTGTGTCCGTCAAGAACTAAAAAATAAATATTAAAATTCTCTCTCTCTGTCTCTGTCTCTGTCTCTCTCTCTCTCTTTTAAAAAAATCTATCTTTTTCCATGTATTAGTAATTCAGTTTAAGTATTTATGAGTCACTTTTTAAATTCCAGAAGTCAAAATTTAAGTATTTTTTTTATATAATTTTTTTTCATTCTTCTTACTTGTGAGTTTCTCTCAATGAGATCCTAATATTTGAAATTTCATTGTTAGAGAATATATCAAAAAAAGAAATTATTGTAAAATATTGAATTATATTTTGAAGATTTCTCTTTTTAAATTTTAAAACTATGCTGAGATATGGCCAGACTTGGAATTTTCCCTAGGTGGATGTGGAGACCATCCTGTGTGCTATCCCATCACTGTCTACCAGAACAAAACAAGCCAAAGGGAATATTAAAAGCATTCTTTTTTTTTTGTGGGGAGGGGGATGCTGGGCATTGTTAAGGAGGAAAAGAGATGACAAAGAATCAGATACAGACTAAAGAAGGTCTCTGCAGCCAAGGGATTATTGTGTATGGAAATTTGGTTTTGAGCCACATTGTTCTCCTTTAAGGTGCATTCCCTCAAGTCCAGAGTATGTATCTTGGCTCTGTTAATAAACAGAGTGCTCAAGTGCTAAGCTGCTTTGGCAACAAAATGGCAGAAGTGGGGCAGAAGGGTGTGCTCCTCAATTCCATCAGCTGAACAATGACAATGTCATGCCTGGTTCACCAATCTTTCCAATTCTGTGAACTCAGTTCTTAAATATACCTGCACACATGTAGGCACACAGAGTATTAGCTATAATATGGGAGACAGAGAAAAACGATGCCTCTAAAATTACATTGCTTCCTCTCTCTGCTCCTAGGTTCTTTTTACCATGGCTAAGAGAAATTTTGTTCTTTAGCAACTTAATGCAAAGCTGGTGTTTCAAATTTCAAATGCAGCAGGCCAGGGAAATCCATATAGTTGTATGGGTTATGGATTGTACAAAATTACAGTTTGGTGTGCCCTAAATGATGCAGTATACAAGCTGCATAACTGTACATGACACCACTATTGGTGTTCTATAAATATATTTATAATTTGGGTATGAAAGAAAGAGGGTTTTTTCCCCTTATTTTTTTTACTGGTGCATTATAATTATAAACAATGGTAGAATTCATTGTTACATATTCATACATGCACAGGATATAACTATGTATTTTTTATTGGTTCTTTTTAGTTATACATGACAGTAGAATCCACTTTGACATAATTATAAAAGCATGAAATTTACCTTGTTTTAATTCAGTCCCCAGTACCTTTCCTACCCACTTCAATCCCCCAAACCCCTCTTCCCTTCTCTTTATTGATCTCTCTGCCATTTACCCAGTTATTTTTTTAAATTGATTTCTTATGGATGTACACAATAGTGAGATTCACTGTGGTATATTCATACATGTGCATAGTAACGTTATGTCAGATTCATTCCATGGTCTTTCTTTTTCCTATACTTCCTCCCTTCCCTTCATTCTCCTTTGTCAAATCCAATGAACTTGTATTTTTCCTCTCCCCACCTTGTTGTGTGTTAGCATCCACACATCACAGAAAACATTCTACCTATGGTTTGGGGATTGGCTTATTTCACTTAGCATGATAGTCTCCAGAGCCATCCATTTACAGGCAAATGTCATAAAGTCATTCTTCTTTATGGCTGAGTAATACTCCGTTATATATATATATATATAAAAATAACATTTTCTTTATTCATTCATCCATTAAAGGGAACCTAATTTGGCTACATAGTTTAGCTATTGTGAATTGTGCTGCTATAAAAATTGATGTGGCTGTATCACTGTAATATTCTGATTTTAAATCTTTTGAATATATACTGAAGAGTGGGATTACTGGGTCAAATAGTGGTTCCATTTCTAGATTTCTGAGGAATCCCATACTGTTTTCCAGAGTGGTTGCACCAGTTTTCAGTCCCACCAACAATGTATGTTGTTTCTACATCCTCGCTAACATTTATTGTTACTTGTATTCTCGATAATTGCAATTCTGACTAGAGTTAGATGAAATCTCAGTGTAGTTTTAATTTGCATTTACCTAATTGTTAGAGATGTTGAACATTTTTTCATATATTTGTTAACTGTTCATATTTCTTTTTCTGATGGGCTGGGGCTGGGGCTCAGTGGTAGAGTACTTGGCTAACATGCATGAGGCACTGGGTTCAATCTCCAGCACCACATAAAAAAACTATATAAACATAGTTCTTCTTTTGAGGAGTGTCTGTTGAGTTCTTTTCCCACTGATTTTTTTTTTGGTGTTAAGCTTTTTCTGTATTCTCTAGATATTAATGCCCTATATGAGGTGGGGATGGCAAAGATTTTTCTCTCATTTTGTGGGCTCTCTCTTCATGCTCTTGATTGTTTCCTTTGCTGTGCAGAAGCTTTTTAATTTGATGCCGTCCAATTTATTGATTTTTTTTATTTTACTTCTTGCACTTTGGGAGTCTTATTAAGGAAGTCAGTTCCTGAATCAGTATGTTGGATGTTGGGCCTACATTTTCTTCTAGCAAGTGCAGGATTTCTGGTCTAATACATACGTCTTTGGTTCACTTTGAGTTTTGTGTAGGGTAAGAGATACCGGTGAAATTTCATTCTACTGCATGTGGATTCCCAGTTTTCCCAGCACCATTAGCTGAATAGGCTATTTTTTCTTTAATGTATATTTATGGTGCCTTTGTTAAGTAGGAGATAAATATTTATGTGGGTTTGTCTCTGTGTCCTCTATTCTGTTCCATTGGTATTCATGCCTGTTTTGGTGCCAATAACATGCTGTTTTTGTTACTGTCGCTCTTTAGCACAATTTAAGGTCTGGTATTGTGATGCCTCCTGCTTCGCTTTTCTTGCTAAGGATTGCTTTGACTATTGTGGACCTCTTAATTTCCTAAATGAATTTCATGACTGCTTTTTCTATATGAAGAATCTCATTGGAAGTTTGATGGGAATTGCACTGAATCTATATAGCGCTTTTGGAAGTATGACCATTTATAACAATATTATTTGATCAATATCATTCTCTAGTATTTCCCCTTTCTCTCTACTCCTTCCTCCCCTTGGTCCTTTCCTCTATACTACTGGTATACCTTCTATTTTCATGAGACCTTGCCCTCCATTTCTTTTTTTAATATTTATTTTTTAGTTTTAGGTGGACACAATATTTTATTTTTATGTGGTGCTGAGGATTGAGCCCAGTGCCTCATGCATGCTAGGCAAGCACTCTACCACTGAGCCACAATCCAGGCCCCCATTTCTATTAAAAGAAGAAGTCTTTTAAAAAAAGATTGGGAAAGAGCATGAGGAAGCAAAGAAGTGTAGGTGTGTAAATGAGAAAAATCATTATAGCAGCAGTAGGCAATTCTCTTCCAGTGTGTCTCACCAAAGCTCCCCCTTTTCTTCCTCAGGCTGATATTACCTTTTGACCCATGATGGATTCTAAGACAGAAACCATTAAAAACCCTTCAACATTGTATTCTACCTCTTTTGTAAGATTCACTTTTTTTCACCACTACTATTAAAAGATTCCATTTATTAATAGCTTTTCCTGAAAGCATCATATCTATCATTTGAATCTATAGAAACTCATAATTTTAAAAAGTTACTTACCTTTAGTTTTCTTACACATTTTTTTTGGTCAACTTTGCCTCTTTCTGTTTTACTCTCCTTTCCTCACATCTATTCCCCTGAGAAAGGGGGAGACAGGTGAGGCACAGGGTTGAGGAAATTAGAAGTGGATTTGATATGAGAGGATAGAGGTGGAGGGAAAATGGGTAAAAAAGTGGGGGAAAGTGGAAGAGATCATTAGAGAAGAAGTGAGAAAGTAAAAGGCCAAAAGCAGGAGAGAAAAAGGCACAGAAGGAGAAAGAACTTAATTTGGGTCTTAAATTCAAATTATGTTCTAACCACCTCACCTCATCAAAAATGCTTTAATTCTTTCCAGTGGTGTTCACTGTTAGATTTCCACAAACCTGTTTCCTTTTAGGGGCATCCTTCCCTTTTTATTTTTAGCCCAGACTTCATAAACAGGGAATGAACCTGACTGTTTAGGATTCCAAGGAATATGATTTGTAATATTTAAGAGGAAAGTAGAAAAGAGATAGGGGTGAGAAGGAACTCTCAATATGTCATAAATGTTTTTCCTCTCTACATACTTTGTCTCATTTCTTTCCATCTTGGAAAAATACCATGGAAGCACAGATAAGCCTATCATTTGGGCTCACTGTAAAGAAATCAGAAAAGCTAACGAGAATAAAGATTAGAAAAACTAGAAATTAAAAGTCAAGAAAGGAGAGAGATGGACTTAGATCCAGAGAGATAAGTTTAGCTTAGGACCTTATCATGTAGGTACATAGGCATGTCATAAAAATGGTGTATTGGAAGTATCATTTTACCCCGAAATCTCATGCTGCAGAGATAAAAAGTAAAATTTTCTCAAACTGCTGAGTGGTGTGAGAGATCATTGTTCCTAACTAGCATTGAATGCCAATAGATGAGCGTAATACTACCAGAAATTTACTATTTTGGGGAGAAATTATTATTCTGGTTTCTAGTTAAAGTAGAAATTGGAATTACAGACTCATTTTTAGTCTACACTTAGACTAAATTTAATGGAAAAGAATATTAAGATTTGGCTTTTGCGGGAAATAAAGTAGTGTTAAGGGTAAGAGTGTATGAATGGGGAAAAATGAATAAGAGGAGGGTGAAAAGGGGGAAAGAAATACTAATCAGGGGGAAAACTGAAAAACTATACAAGCCTAAGGAAAAAATGGGAAGATTGGGAGAGAGAAATGGAAAGAAATGAAAAAGTACATGAAAGAAAACAAACATGGAAAATAGTTAATACTTTGTGGAAAACTGTGTTGCCAATTTTGTATATCGTACTATCCTTGTTATTTAACAAACTCAAAGTGAACTTTGCTGCTCATTCATTGTATTTTTGCTTAGCTCCTGATTTCCAGAGCCCCATTTTAAGCTGCCTGCTAGATTTTAAAAGATGGGCCACCAAGACCACAAACATTTCAGCTTAAAATATTATATATTATAACTGCCCCAAAGGCCTTGAGACTACTCATGCCCTCCTCGTCCCAGCCCCTGAGCCACGTGCACGCACATTTTATGGTTAGAGAAACAAGGGTTAGAAAAATTAAATGTTCATGTAACAGAGGAGATACAGTTAGATCTAAACCTGGGGCTTTTGATCCTAACTTCAGTGTTTAGTAGCTGATTTCTTCATCCTTTCCAACCTTCCCCTAATTCCTTTCCACACCTCATTTTATGGACTTACTCCTCCTCGTCATGTTGTCTCCCAAACCATTAACCTCAGTATTTTTTTTTCTTGTTCTCACAGGCAGGCTGTGAGTAGCTTGTTGACTGTGTATTTTTATCCTTATTTTCATTCTGACAGCTACTTACATGGTTCAAGACTTTGTCACCCTTCACCTGGACTATTATAATAGCTTCCTAACTGGTCTCTACTTCTGGGCCTCCTCTGCCTTTTATTGCAGTCAGCATATCGTCCTAAACATGACACCAGTTTTGTCATTTTCCTATATTTTAGCAGTTCCTCTTTAGCTACCTAACAGTTGTATACAAATTTCTCAGCAAATATTATATATCTGGCTCCTGCCTTGCTTTCCAACTGCATGCCTCACTACTCCTAAATGGAACGGAATTGCCTTGCACTCTCCTATTGTTTTGATGTAGCTCACATCATTCTCTATCCAGGGTATCCTCATTTCTCCTTTCCTACCTCAAAAAACTGCCTCATTTACAGTTTTGCATGATTTCTTCTCCTGAGCTAAAAATATTCTCCACTTTCAAAGTAGAGAATAACAACATTCTGAATTTGTACATGTTATAAGGCCAGGTAACCTGTCCTGTTATGTTTTAATCTCTCCCAGAGCCTACACCAAAGACTCTTCCTGCCTCATATGTAACATAGTCAGGCACCAAATGCTTGTTCAATTGAACAAAATTGAGTTTGTGGAAGAAGAGAATGAAAGAATTAGTCACATACAGAATAAAATATCAATGCCCTATGTCAATTTTAAATTTCCAAAGCCAAATAAATGAATGCCTCAGAATGTATGTAAAATGTACTAATTATATAACAATGTTATTTATAAAACTGCCAAGTAAAATATTTGTCTGTACTAGACATCTCTGAAGTTTCTAAAAATTATCTTGATTTCTTTACAAAATACAATTTGTAGTAGAAATTGACAGATGAAAATTCTATAAATTGCAAAGAAAATTTTGTATTTTTCTTATAAATGTCAGTAGCATTTTCCTACCATGTTCTCAGGTTCAAATCTATAATTGGAACATTGGCCTCATATTGCCATGATGTTATCCAGTACTTTTGGACACTAATACCCAAAAGGAAAGCCTATAATCATTTTTTCTTTATTTTTTTGTAGGACTCATAAATGTGACTACAAATGCTTTCAAAGTATTCAAGCTTTTTGAAATTTTTTTTTCTCTCTCCACTTAAGCCAAGTTAAATGTTACTGTTTCTTGTACAATATTTGTATGTGTGTGTATGTGTGTGTGGTACTGGGGATTGAACCCAGAAGTATTCTGAGCTATACCTCCCCTTTATTTAATCTTTTTATTTTGAGGCAGAGTCTCACTAGGTTGCTTAGGGTCTTGCCAAATTGCCCAGGCTGGCCTTGAACTTGTGATCTTCCTGCCTCAGACTCTAATGTGGCTGGGATTATAGCCATTCACTACAGTACCTGACCCTATACTACTATTTTATATGCATAACTTAAGCTGAGGCCTATTCCATCTCCCTAGTTAGAAAGAAACTTGGAAGTGGGTCAGTAGCCAGCAAATGGAGGGATACCCATGTATGTCCATAAGACAACCTTCATGTCATAAGTTTGTTATTCCAATTTATCTTATTAGACAAGGGATTTTAAAAGAAGAAACTGCTTCTCCCCAGAAAATGAAATAGTATCACCTGACACTGAGTGAGAAACTAAAGATATAAGCAGGAAGAAATGAGGAAATAAATGATTTAGATTTACCAAAAATTTAGTTGTGCACAATTCCCCTTATAGTTTGGATTCTTCCTGTTGAGCTAGTTTTGGATTAGTTCATGCCTGATGGGTTATTAAATTCAGGTAATTGGAAAACCAAATGCTACCAGCACAGAAAAAGAAATGGGAAGCAATGCCTGGCCACTTAAAAAATATAGTCTGAGGATAGGCTTTGAGGAAGAATTTCTAAATGTAGGGCTCTCAGAATGGATTCTTTTCCTCTTAACTACTCTACTGATCAAGAACCAGAGGCAACTCCCAGACACCAAACATCACAATGAAATTTGTGATGGAATTTGTTCCATACCTGAAGGATGTGAATGAGTTCTCATGCTCCTGTAAAAATAAACAGCACATTTCAAAAGTTTTCCATCATAACCACAAATATTTAGAAAAGAATTATTAGGTATGAGATAACTAGTCATTCTCTAAATGCTTTGTGGGTAGTAATGAACCATGTTTGGCAAGCTGAGGCTGTTATTGATTACAATATTAGATAAAATTATTTATTTACTGATTATCCAACCTGTAAAAGCTATAAAAGCAAATTTTATGTAATAACATATAATCTTTTTATTGCATTTCTTTCCAGTCACTCAGTGAGGTTGCTGGCATCCCCAGTCCTGCTGCCTGTTAGTCCTTCCTTCTGGGCAGAGACAGATTCTTATTGCTGCTACTCAGGAGAGTAAATAAATAAATCAGTTTTATTGGTAATACAAGGTCTCATGGAGACCTTGGAGTAAATTCTGGATTGGATGGTTTGAGAAGTCACCACTCTGCTAGCTTCTTCACCAACCTCTTGCTAGGGGTAACAACAATTGGGAATCTTGTAGGCAAAGAACATACCTTTATGTATACTTCTTAATATTTCTTATGGCTTATTGGATTAAACAGGAAATTAGTGGTCAGTTTTTCAGATAATTTAACTTTCAGAAATGTCTTTGGATAAAGAAACTTCTTTTTCAGTACCCCTGATTTATTAAAAAAATAGCAATAGTTATAATACTTATTTTCTTAACTTCATTGGCATGCTAAAATATAAACCTAAGTTATTTAATTTTCTTTTCTTTCCCCCTTGGATTTTTATGATTATACAAGTCATTTAACTTTCAACATATTCTTGCTTATTTGCCAGATTGTCAATAAATATTTTTGACACATGCTGCTTGAGTAAAACACAGAGTTTAGAAAAGTTCCCTAATTATGATCCACTTTAAGGAATCAGGAAAATACATCCAGTTCAAGTTCTAAAATTAGTCTTTCAGGAAGTAAATTTAAAATAGTAATTTTCTGAAAGATTCAAGATGGCAGACTAGAGGAAGGCTACATTCCTAGTTGCTCCACGGCTCAGGATTCAAGAAGCAGGAGTAGTATACTTCTGTGCAAGGTGGGTAAAGTAGGGATTCACTAAAACTCATATTGGACAGACAGGGTGTCTTAGAGATTCAGAAATTTGGGTACATTAAATAAAGAAAGACTACATTGGAGCCAAGCTGTTTGCACAGCAGTGATAGTGGCATTGGTTCAGCACAGAGGGAAGGGGAACAGAGAGAAACACAATGGACAAATTTAGTTTGGAAAAATCTGAGATCAGAAAAGCAGCCTGCCCTTAGCTGATACAGAGGCTGTACTGTGCACTGGTGCTTGAAAAGTGGCCTGTGTTTCCCAGCTGGGCAGTCAGAGCTGAGGTGGGAGCTATCCTGAGGCAGTCATGCTGCAGCTGCTGCTGGGGGAGCTGGCAGATCTGAGTAAACATGGTTACACTGTCTTAGCAAGCACCTTCCACCTTCTGTATAGCCTAGGGTGTACTTAGCAGAATGGGAGCAAAACAGGCACAGAGAATATTTTACCCAGGGGGATGCAAGTTGGAAAAGTGAAGGGGAACCCAACACACCTCCCCTTTGAGTCTGGTGGCTCACATGACTAGCTGAAGTGGTCAGGAATCTGAATGGGCAGGTATGAATATACTCACAAACTAAGCCTGGGAAGCCTGGAAAGACTGTGTTTGTGGCCAGCAGAGTGGATGAAGGATTGGCTCCTTTAACCCATAAGAAGAATTTTTGAGAGGCTCCTGAGATGCACATTCCCAGCAGAGATAATGGCCAGGCCCTAGGGGTATGTTGATCTAATCTCTCCAAAGCAGAAACCACCCAGCAAAGCCACTGAGGCCTGATTAGATCTAAGCCTCACCTGCTGGAACTCCACTCAAGACTCTACAGCAGCAACCCCCAGCCCTGGAGTTCATTGACCTGGTCTGTGTGGATAAAACTCCAACTGACAGTACTTCTCTTCCCATTCTATCTCATAGCAGGGAGAAGAGAAGCTGAGAATTATTTGAACCAGTTTCATTTTGAGGCTATTCCAATGGTAGTTTGGTGAACAACACAAAAAGAGGAAGGGGTTAACAACGCCCAGCTCTTGCTCTCATTTACAGTACATAGCCAAGAGAAATGAAAAGAAAGTTGGGCATAGATAGTGTCCATCTATTCTCATTGACTATTTTGATGACCTCAGTGGAAATAATTCCTTAATTTTTCACTAAAATTTTGTTTTGTTTTGGTTTTGGTTTTGTGTGCATTTGCTATGCTGATTGGTTCATGTACATACATACATATTTCTTTTTTTCTCATTAGTAGCATTTTTTAATATAGTTATTTTTCTTTTTTTAAAAATTTTTATTGTTGGTTGTTCAAAACATTACGTAGTTCTTGATATATCATATTTCACACTTTGATTCAAGTGGGTTATGAACTCCCATTTTTACCCCGTATACAGATTGCAGAATCACATCCCTTACACAT